GGTATCAGGAAAAGCCTTTGAGGAATGACACGTAACATTCACATGAAGGGCAGAAAAGGTTAACTGGTTACAAATAGTCAAATACATCACATGTTTAGATCTAGAAAGGGAACATTCAGAAGATAACCCATTGACCCAGGGATCGACGTAAAGGAGAAGAGAGTAAACAGGAGAAAGAATGCTTCTTGTGGTTATGCTGGTCGAACAAGACAAAGAAAGATGAGTCATCTCGGATTACAGTCGCTGATTTATTTGTTAGGGATAAATTCAATATGCCTGGAAGTGCCTGGAAGCTGCAACAAATTTTTCAACCTCACTACTGTTTTTTCTATCCCCACCACAAGATCATAAATTTGATCTTTTAACTATCTTTTTTTTTACATATCAAATAATACCCAGCAAGAAAATTATCCATGGGTATAGGATATTGGTTTGTGCTGCAGAAAATGTGCCGGGTCAGTCTTTTAGCTGCCATTTGGCACTGGAACGTGACGGTAAGTAGGGCACAAAAATGTCAGTCATCACTGTTTGCCAACCTCCCTGCACTGACGGGTATCCACCTTAACGGCCACATCTGCAGTTTGTGGCTCCACAAACACACATGGGGCCCCTCTCACGACTGGAATTAGACACGTACAAAGCGCGGGCCTTGGTCATGATCATCTGCAGCCTGTTTTCATCTCACTCTGTGAAACATGTTCAATTCCTCCTCACCAAGAAACTGTTGGCCTTTTTTCTGGGATCGGTCCTGATCTGTTCGGACGGATGTACAGTTCAGAAACTACAGGGACACACACGCACACACACGTTCCTGTAAATGTCTCCCTAGAAGGTGCCAGCAAGGGAAGGAAACGGACAGTCTGAGTCAGAGGACCAGCGATTACAAAAAGAGCAGCCTGGTCTATTCTGGGTGGTTTGTGAAGAATAGAAATGTTTGTTCACCCAAATATAAGAGGTGATGAAATGAGTCAACAACAAAGTCAAACAGCTGTGTGCTTACTCAGTGCTGAGTCACTTTTTAGATGCATTCTGAGAATAAATAATGTTCCGTGCAACATTTTTATTATTTTATGCCTGTCAGACAAAGAAGCATTGCTTAGGGGTAGTGGGATGATTGAAGTTCCTGAAGAAAAAAGTTTAACATCTGAGAGTGATCGCGTCAAGCTGCTGCCTCCTTCATGGTGCCAAATGGAAATCTGCTTTCACACCTCGGTCTTTTGGCTGACAGGAAAATATCAACACAAGCAACCATTGTTTTGGGTTGGTCTTTTGGACGTACTGGGTTTTTCCATCACTTTATTTGGAACACAAACAAAAATGCTGTTAAAGGAAGTTGCTAAATTACTGCTATATTATAGGAAATTCACCAAAAGAAATTGGACTACAATGCATAAAAATCCATTAGTCACAACCAAATCTGACAGGTAGATAGGGCCGATTCTGACCGGGTCAAGCTAAATGTTCTAGATGGGTTCTGAGGCTCGTTCTTGAATCTCCTGGACTCAGCTCTGTTCTTGCATCCTGCTATGTGAAAAAGACTCATCAAGTGGATCCCATGAACCAATCAGAGAAAGAGTTGGGAGAAACTTCCAGTCTGACAGCCAATGTAAAGACTTTGTGTTTTTCTAAGCCCTCATTAGACGGAGGGACAAATCAACACTGCTTCAAACATTTAAAGTTGCAAACATGCATTTCAATAAAGACAGGTTTACATTCAAGGTTTGAAGCTGGACTATGTAACTTTTTTAACTATGTTTTTTACATGTTTGGTAAAACTGTCACCATTACGTTACAGTATGACATGGGTAATTAAAAAAAAGATTTCAGCTCTTTTGCATCCTCCCTGGTTTGTAGAAATACACCACAGACACAACCAATCAGAGCCGGGAGGAGGGTCTTAGTGCTGTCAATCATGCATATGTACATGCTGTTCACAACTTCCCCCTTGCTCTCTGTCAGGCCAGATCAAGTTCACCTCAATGGTAATCACATACACGAGTGTGATTGACTGTCCTAAGACCCTCCTGCTGGCTCTGATTGGCTGTTTCTGATGGAGCAGTGTATTTCTTCAGGGGGCCATCAAAGCACAGAGAGAAACCAGAGGAGCTCGACTTTATTCACAGATTCTCTCTAATGTATCCTATCATCACCTGGTGACAAGTTTAGCTAACATGTAAACTAATGATTATTTCAAAATGTAACGGATTTATAACATATCAAAAATTGTTGCATTGAACTTGACGCTTGTTATATTTTGAAAATCATATTGTGAATGGACCTAGAAGTTCAGCACGGACACACTAAAGTGAACTTAAGAAGGGCAAGTAAATTAGGTGAAAGGTCAAATGCAATGCAATACTTCGTAACATATGAATTAGGATCCAAAGGTGATTAGAAGATCTTTCCACTTAGTGTTTTGTAACTTATAATGTGATCCCAACCAATCTCTGGTACACAAGTAGAATTGTGAATGAAATGTAAATTTTCCAGTAAATTTCTTTGTCTCATTTGCATAAAAAACTTGTGAAACTGAAACCAGCTCATGGTCTTATTACTATCACAGTGTAGTTTTGGTTTTCAGGTCCTGAAACTACAAAAACTACATTAGAAGAATATCCATCATTGCTAAACCATGCAAATCGCAATAATTTCAAGTGAAAATGCATTTCTGAATACCACATATTATGTTTTATTTACTTGTCAATAATATTTCTGGGAAAAAAGAAGTGTCAGGCATTATTGCAGCTGAACTGTTGCCACACTGGCTATCAGAGATGTTGGCCTTTAGTCAAGGCCTTTTCAAATTTAGGGACTTTCTGAGTAACCCATTTCCGTGAACATTAGCCTGCGCCGTGCACACATCCAACACATGCCAGTCAGATGTGGTCATGTCTGACACCTGCCAACAATCTGGGCACAAAGTGGAATTTGAGTTGAGTTTAAAGTTCAGAAATCAGGGTGAAGTCAGACTTTTAAAAAAAAATAAAAAATTCTTAACAAATATTAGTACTGGAGGGCAAACTGGAACAACCTCCATATCAAACACATCTGATAATGGCAAGTCTGTCTGAGAACGCCAAGAGCTCTTCTTTGTGACCTTTGAATGTTTAGTGGAACATTAGAGTCAGGACTTTAGTCATAGTGTTGCATGTTTTTAATAGTCGATATTTTCTGTCCTGCCGATTCAGATATCTTGCTGGAGATACTGAGTTGGCCTGATGCAGACTGTATAACTCAAATCTAAGACTTTTTCTTTTTAAATTAAGACCCATATTTTGATAGAGATGTACAAAAGCAATGCAGAAGACCAAAACTATCAACTTTCTGGGGTCTTTTTGTGGCTCTCGGCAGCAGCTTTACATTTTTCACACGGCATACGGCATAGTCATTTTATAGACATAAAATGACTAGAAATCAATGTTTGATGATAGTGAGGAGAGATGAACTTAAGAGTTCCTTTTAACTCCAGAATATTGTAAAGTATGTCGTATTTGGGCTGATAAGTCACAACAGTCTTCAATATTCAACAACGCTGCGAGAATCACTGTTAAACCCTTTATTAGGAGAAATAAAAGCAGCTCTAACTAGCGCTCTAGTTAGCTAGCTAACACGTGAATCTCATTGTGTTATGGCAACTGTGATATGGCTCTAGCTAGCCATATGCAAAGGAGATAGCATATGCCTAGCTAGAGAGCTAGAAGTTGACTCAACATTGGTAGCATATGGCTCTCTAGCTAGTTAAAGAACTGTCCTAGCTTCTAATGGCTTGTTTGCAAGCTAGCAAGCATTGCTGGTTTGTTACTGACATCCTTAACTGTCTTGAGTCACAGAACGCAGTGAGTGAATATGTCTCACTTAGACCTGATAGAAAAATCCTACAAGAATAAATCTGTTCTTGCAGTTACTTAATACATAATATTAAGTGGTCCTGACATCAACAATTTAACACCTGTGATTAACATATTTTAAGCTAACTTACATTCTTAACCCCAGACATTTCATGGCCAACTTTTAGATAGATGAATTTAAGACTTTTTAAGGCTGACGATAGCACCCGGCTAATGTCATCCTGACATTAGCCGGGTGCTAATGAGGCTCTTCTTCATTTGGAGCCCTCATCCCATGGAGGTTGTCGGGGTCGTTCTGATGAGTCATGTTTGATGACAAGCACGATTTATGCCAGTCTTCTTGGTGAGCACAAAACTTACAGGAATTTTAATGATGAAATTTGCAGTGAACTTAAAGCTACATAATTAAGCTACATAATTTATTGTTATGATTGGTATTTAAAAAAAAAAATATTCCTACTGTAAAGGGAGTGCTGGAGGAACGATCCGGCTGTTCCGCCTGGTCGACATGAAAAGAACACAGTGATCTTCACGTTGTTATCTTTTCGGGACACAGATGCTACAAAGTTCTTGTTTTTGTCAGTTTGCTTTCCGGCATTTCTACAAACGACTGCAGTAAAATTGACCAAATTCTTCCTGAAAACAAAACAGACAGCAGCACGCTCAGACCTGCCTCCTCAGCGAACACTCAAACGTACGAGTCGCACACATGTGTCCCCAGGTGTCCCCATGTGTCCCCATGTGACACGCTAAGGTCACTTTGTGTCCCCTGAGCAGCACTTGTTCCAGCATATTGTACGTGACTGCTGAGCTGAATTTGACTAACGCAGCCGCATCAGCATCCTTCTCATAAGGATGGCGTTTACGTCTGAAAGTGGAGTCAACATTAGTTCGTCTCTTACTGGAAGCATCGTTTTTCCAGTAACTTTCCGCTCTGCTGAACATGGCTGATGGTTTGATTTATGACAACAGCACTTTTCTGCAGACACACCATGTCTCCATTAGACAAAAAAAGAGAGATAAAGGGAGACAAGGGTGCAAGGGGTGGTGGGGTTATAATTGCACTGCCTGGACTGGAACTCTGTCCCTCCCTCATGTTCTCCCCTCCTCCCCCCCTCTGGGATCTCGGCCTTACTATATAAAGGAGAACCCAACCCACGCAGGTTTGCTCAGTCAGGCAGATCTGGGTTGTACGTTCAGAGAAGCTGCAGCCTGAAAACCTTTGCTTCACCTCCAGAGTCGGTCAAGTTCTCCTGCTGAGTTCTGAGTTCAGCGTTGGACGTCAGGGGATCCACCTGGTCCAGGATAAGTTCAGAGCTCTTTAGAGAAACAAAGAAACCGACCCAACTCTTTCGAAGTCCGTTGAAAAGATGGAACAGCAAAGCTTCTTCACTCACAGAAAAGCATTGGCGGTGATGTGCATTGCCTGTTTTCTGCTGGCTCAGCAGGTGAGGAGACTATTGATTTGATTGGAATGTAGGAAGTTCTTCTGAGACGCATACAGAGTTTGTATGCGTCTCAGAATTGAATTGAAATTCAGGTGAACTGAATTTCAAAGTCATCACTGGAAGATGTTCACGGTCGTATCTAATGAATGCTTCACATTGCTCAAATTCTATGCGCCTCAATTGATTTTTGCTCTTACACACCAAAAAAATCCAATAACTTGAGAGACAGAAAATCAAAATCAATACTGTAGTTTATCGTCTTGTGGTGAACTTTCAACAACTAATAGACGTTCCTGTGCATTTTGTGTGTGCGTGTGTGTGTGTGCGGTTTCCAGGCACATGCAGGTCCGCTGGTATCGCGGCTCCAGTCTGGCTCTGGCCAGATCCAAGACGTAAGAGGGGAACACACAGAGCACATGCTGAAAAGAATCGCCCGCATGACCCCACTGTGGAGGATCATGAGCAGCAAACCGTCTGGGGCTTTCTGCCAAAACAACTTTGAATGCGCGACTGGACTCTGCAGGTAACAGGAAAACAGGCGTCTTCAGAAATTAAACTGTGATCCATCATTATCGTGTCTAAGTCGGGTATTTGGCCGGGGTAAACCGTGCAGTGGGAACCATTGCACTAGGACTTACTTGTTGGATCAGCAGATTATGCATAACACATGTGCACCAATAGCTTAATGAGGTCCACAACTCATCTATTCCTACAACTTTCACTAAATTTTATATGCACTGCATTGGATGTCATGCTGTGGGCTGATTTCTGTTTAATTTTTTTGAATTTCCATTTGGATAATGCTTGGGACTAGCTATTAGCTAATTTGAGGGCGAAACAAGTGTATTTTTTTTCCCCCTCCATTTAACTAAATGCCAAAAAATAATGATAATTGTACGACACTGTGTGCGCAACCTATTTAGTAAAAAAATGCCCGAAGTTTTAGCTGCATTCTGAATTCACAGCGGCCATGTTGAGACCTTTGCCTTTCCAAGTCGACGTGACTTTATCAAAAGACTCTGTCTGTCATTATTAACTCATAAAACAAAAATAGGGCAACAGCCTTCATTTTATTAGACTTGCATCATCAGCAAAAGTAGAACCTGACCAGCTAGCTTAAAAAAAATTCAGTAGCATAGCTGACACAGCGAAGAGCATTCGGTGATTTCGCCTTACTTTTTGCGTTCTTCTGAACAACAAGGGGATTAAACATCTCTCATGAAAGAAACTCTGAGACAAGAAATTTAGAATCTTGATAGATTTTATAAGAAATTCAGATTCAACATTTTAGCTTGCTTTTTGTTTTTGTTTCAAAAACGACCAGGAGTTGGGGCCCCATGTTGCTGCTGTTAACTATTCAGCGTGTCTTTTTTCGACATTAAAAACTGTCTGTCTGTCCGCAGGGAGGGACGCTGCTCCACAAACCAACGCCCGTCATCAGACCCCGTGAAGTATTAGAGGCCTCCGGACGTCAGCCGTGCGATCCCAACCTGGGTGCATTCTGAAACCTGGGATGCAACCTCTATTTTTTTATCTGTATTGTCTGAACTTGTATTTATAACTATGAGTATAATATCTGCACAGCCACTTGGGTTTCTTGCCAATTGAACTGCCGGAAAATTGATGCAAACAGCTAAATAGCTGGTGGACTGAGGAGAGTTGCCAAAATGACATTGGTGCTACGATTCAAAAGAAGATGCTTTTCCTGTTTTTGGGACGTTCAAGCTACTTTAGCCGTGAACTTCATCTTACAAATGATGTGAAGGAGTTTTGAATCCACACACGCTTCCTAATAACACAGGCTTGGTTGATAGTTCAGTTGGATTCTTCTGATATAACAATAATGACCCGTAAAAAAAAAAAAACAATTAAAAAAACAAAACAAAAACAGACATAAGACACAAGTCCCACCATTTTTCCATCCTCCTGGGCAGAAGGGTCTTGCATTGTTTTCTCAGATCGTCTTTTATTTGCGGTTTGATCCCGACGACAGACGGCAGGAGCAGGAACCGATCTCAAGCACAGAGACTCTTTCGCGACCTTCGTCCTTCCGACCTTCGTCAGAAGTTGACGTCCTTGCGCTGTCTCGAAGAGCGCACGCGTTCCCTTTCATCTCCAGAAAGCAGCAGAAGATAACCCACATGCACAGGCAGGGATGCGATTAGCAGAGCGTGGAAAACCCTCCACCGAAAGGCTTTCGACAGAAAGTTACAGATTTTTCTTCAAAATCCCAATCATTACTTATTCTGTGTCCTGCACAGCTGACTAAAGACTAAGAGAGATTTCAGACTTCCTTCCAAATGCTTTGTTTAAAACAGACATGGATCAAACTTTCAAGTTGGCAACGATAAACTTCACTGAGTTGGAAAGGGAGAAATAATTTTGTTTACAGGGTAAAAAATCGCGCACATATTTATTTGCCTCCTTTGTCTGAGTGTCAAAAATGTTCCCGTTTGTGTTTAGCTCTTATGTTTGGTTCAGTCTAGAACAATTTATTGCCCCTGATTGGTTTTCTCCAAGCGCTCAACGTGGAGCCGATCCACAGCCACGAGCTGCACGGCCTCAACGTTTGCACATCTATCCCCTTGACGCCTAAAGGGGTTAGAGTCCTGTTTCCAACACACCTGCAGAGTTTACACCACGCACACGGCAGGCGGAGCCGGATGGCCTTTTTTTTTGCTCACTTTGAGGTTTTAGTCGGGCTGCACTTTTCAAATCTGAATATCGTTGTACTGTACGGTGTTGCAAACATGTAAAAGAGTGGAGGGAAAGTCGAATAAAAGCTTTCGAACAAGGATTCGGTTTCATGTCTTCGATCTGGTTTCAGAGGGGTTTTTTTTTGGTTGGTTCACAGACACGAAGACGGGATGGTGGACGTCACGTTTCTGGAGCAAGATGTCAGCGGCCGCTGATCAAACCTTTGGGTCCACATCATTTCCACACGCAGAGATTGAAATATTTCAAATAGTTGATCTTCTTCCCCGTAATCAACTCTGTCGATTGCTTGGCCGTAACACATAGCATATCTATAACAAACTAAACATTTCATAAGTGTCAAGGAAAGTGTGGAGACATCATGAGAGATCTTCTTATGACATGTTTTTAAATGCACTTCCCTTATCGGAGCATTTTTCTTGAAATTCCACTCAAATTTATTGCCTCGTTCATGACATCAAAAACATTTATGAACCAAAGGTCAAGTACTGCAGCGGTGAAAAGGTTTACAGAAATAACACCCTGCAAAAGCACAAAATCTTTTTATGTGGCATAGTCTCAATATTTTAGTACACTTGAAATAAGACAAAACTAACAAACTTTCCAGCAAGACGTTGGAGCTTTGCTTGCAGTCAACAATTCATTTCGTATTGATGAAAAAGTCCTAGTTCAATCGACAGATTACTTCATTTATACCAAGACGTTTTTTACCATGTGAAATAATAAGTTATTGACTATAAACAAAGCTCTTATATATCTCGCTGAAGAACTTCTTGTTAGTTTTGCCTTATTTCAAGTGTACAAAGAAAACTGCACTTAAAAACTGCACAACATTTTCTGGTAAGTTTTGGCGTTCTTGCGAGTTTTGCTGGTTGTCATTCCCAGTTTGAAAGCCCCTGCAGAGCCCAGTACCAGCAGCCTGGTTCCATACGGACTGGTTTCTTCTTTTCTCTCACCTTTGGTCGACTTGGATGGGAATTCCCAATAAGAGTGACTTGGAAGTGAAACAAAGCATCAGCAGAATTTTGCTGCATATCTCTGGCGGGAACAGCGCGCCGGCTCGCTTCCAGCTGGGCTGCTCCGAACCGAAAGGCGCGTGAATCATAAAGCGACATCTGCTGCGGGATAACGCTGAGTCACACGCCTCGCATTTTTTTCCCCTTATGCCACTCAAGGGACCGAAGCCGCTGTCAAGAGTTTAAAAGTCAAACCGCCGCTGGTGTTTCAGTCGTCAGGCTTTCGCAATAACCGGACCAAGCCAAGTGTGTGAGGGTGAAGTCCTGTTGATTTCACCTTTGCATCGACCTTTGACATAGAAATCCCATTTATGGAGAAGCTATTAAGCATTCTGTACTGCAAAAAAGACAACGAGTCAGTCCACAGACCTGGACAAACACAACAGCGAGGCCACGAAGGCCGAAAAATATCAAACTTTGATATCTGAAAAGTGTGGCTTATATTTATACCTACCCCACAATTATCCTGCTACAACTTTACAGAAGCGCGTTTTCCTGATGCTACTGCTTCCAACCTGTCAGGGGAATGTCTCTCCCAGTTCTGCAAATCAGGGAACAGTGATTCCCACACGGATTCCCTGAATGTGTGCTTCAATCTCAGCGTAAATCCAACTGTTCAAATCCGGCTCATCCAGGATAGTTAAGGTGCCAACAGCAGCTAGATGGGCTCACTGTTTAGTCATGTTGGGGTTTTACAATCTGTTTACTGTTCTCTAAAAAAAATATTTAAAAAAAAAATGCTTTTGCTCCGATGGCCTGATGTTGACTTGGCCTCTTCTTCCTCTCCGAGTCTTGGCAGTCCTGTCCTGCACGCGCTGTTCCTCACGCAGACCGTGCTGGTTCCAGTATGCGAGACAGACAGACAGAGAGAGAGACGGGTCGAGGGTCTCCTGGTTGGCACTCGTTTAACAGCTCCGTCCGGACCGCCAGAGGCGATCTAAAGCTTCCCAAGCATGTGAGGAAGCAGGTTTGGCGTTTGGAGAGTGAGGAAAACCCTGGCTGCCTGTTTAGTTTCACACAGCTTAACTGTACACTGCTCTATTTTCAGCGCAGTCAACTTATCAACTTAAATTGTGAATTACTGAAGATAATTGTAGACTACAACTTGTTTAATTACCTCTTCTCCTGTTTTTGTGCAGCAGTGTAAATGAGCTTCTTCTTCTTGTAAAATGTCATATACATAATTGGTCATTTTGGTCTTAATATTCTTGAAGTATTTAGTAAGATAGCTATAAACGTTTGTCCGAAATTTGTCACAAAGTTTTAACAAAATAATGCAAAGGAAAAACAGCAGAAACACCTAAAGGTCAAACATTTCATGATATATCGTCAAAAAGTATCGGTATTGGCGATACTGCTTTGAACAAGCAAACAGATAGTCATAAATATCAACCCTTAAGTTAATTCCTATAAAAATAAAAGCCAAGTCTTGGGTCGATCTAATCTAGACTGGGATAAATGTCAAATGCTTTTCACCCCGATTTCACATGGATCTGCTTTCACTTTGTGCCCCACAGGAACTTACTGACTAAAATCTGCTGAACCTGTTTTAAATGTTCGGCGAACGGCTTCCAGCCAAGGGGAATGTTTTCCATTCGCACCACCATGCAGTTCCAGGTGATCCATCAACCAAGTTCACCTTTTTTTGCCCGTTTATGACACACATGACAGATCGGCGGAGCGTGTTTTGAACACGTGTCAAAGTGTTCAGGCCCTCACAACCTCGCCAAGCTTCCAAGCTCTTTCTGTAATTTTCAACTACGTTCTCATATCAGGGTGAATATAATCACCTTCAATGTCAAGTACAAATAGAAATGACAAAAGATGAATAAAATAGGATCAAATAAACCCAAAATGGGGGAGGGGAAAGCTATTGGAAAGATAATTGAATTAAAATTTCAATTCTGGAACAGACTAAATAAATGAATTTCTCTTGTTTGTAATAAAGAGATCCACAATTTGCATAGAAACACAGAAAACTATTTATTCTCCCAATCACGTTTTGCATTGTGACGGTTTTGTGATATTATCTGTGACGTTGCGCATTCATAGAAGAAACCGATTCAGGATAACATCTACAGTTGATTTTACAGTTTTATTACAGAATTAAGTTTCAACAAGCAGCTCACTCAGTAGATGCACTCATCCTCCTTTCACTGACTGGCGTCATCGAGGAGTTCGCTTCACTACGTCACACATAAAGTCACCTTGTCAATGCAAGAGAGGCACAGTCAGGTATTTTCTTCAGCTGCACTCAATTCATTCCTGATGTCCTGAAAATACGGGGCAGTGAGCCTCGGTTTATACCCTCGGTATAAATCGAGGGTTAAACATGTTCGAAATATAGTGCAAGACCAACAGCTGACAGTTCACTATAATCAAGCAAACGGCTCGGTCTACGGTAAGCTGTAAGTTCTGGACAGTATCACAGTTTATGCTCAAAAGGAGCGATACGCTCACTAACCCAATAAAGGCAAATATGAGTAAGAAATACGCTGATTTTCAGTATCACAAACTGAAAAAGCTGCTTTTTAAACTAAAAGTGTTACGGCTTGTGATGGCCAAATCCATGGCCACACCCTGATGTCCTCAAGAAGTGCTAATTGGATTACACCAATAGTTTCTGCTGGCAGGGGGATATAGTTTGTTTGGATAAGTTTCATATTTAAGAAAATATTAGTATTCAAAGTTTGTTTTTGATTTTCATTTTTGGATCTTAGTTTAGCCAAACTTAGCTGTATTATTTGTTTTGTGTTATTTGTATTTGTTTAGTTACCCCTATTGTGTCATGGTCTGATCAGCCAGTATATAAACCCCTGTGTCATTTCTTTGTTAGGTCAGTTATGTTTGTTGTGCAGTTAGTTTGGTTACACTTTGCCTGAGTTCAATTTTGTTCCTTTGACCTCTTTTATGAGCTCAGTTTATTTTTTGTCATTTATGATTTTGGGTTAAAATAAAAACCCTATTTTTCTAAATACATCCTGTGACTCCTCCTGTTTAACTCGGTCCATCACATGTGGTGTCAGAAGTGGGATTTTGAGTTGAGGAGCCAGGATTTTTTTTTTTTTTTTGCTTTTTGGGAGGATTTTTTTTACTACTCCTCCAATACATTTTTGAGCCATGCAGAATGGTGTGCGCCAAAGGAAAGCAAATAAGGTTGAGACCAAAGAGGCTTCCCAGCAGTCAGACAGGGAGGAAATGGAAGGAGGAGCTTCAGCAGCAGCTGGAGACACTGAGCTTGGTGGACCAGAGAGCCAACGCTGCATGATATTGCTGGAATTCTTCAGGCATTCATGGGACAACAAGAAGTTCGGGATAAAAAGCAGAGAGAGGTTTCTGCACAACAAGAACAGCGCTTCAAGTGTCTCCAGCACCAGTTTCGGCTTTTGCAGATGGAAATGCATGCCAGGACAACCCCGCCCCCTGAGCCTACATCAAATGACCCACAGCTTGTTGAAAATCAAGCTGATCATCAAACTCAAGCAAACATCCCAAGCTGAGGATTTAGATTCAGCTTCCAGCTCAATAGGTCAGTCTGTGCATATTCATCATCCTAAATTGGAAAAATTAACTGCTGAGGATGATATTGAACACTTTCTGACCACTTTTGAGAGAATTGCAGCTGCTTATCGTTGCCAAAGTCAGACTGGATTTTTCACCTCATTCCTCTTCTGACGGGTAAGGCTCGCAGTGCCTATGTTAACATGGATGTGGATGATTCCCTTGAATATGAGAAGGTAAAAGTTGCCATCTTACAAAAATATGATGTAAATCCAGAAACATATAGACAAAGATTTCGCTGCCTTGAAATTCTTGATGAGAGTCCGAAAGAACTGTATTCAAGGCTGAAAGAACTTTATGAGAAGTGGATACAGCCTAAAGATAAAACTGTGAAACAAGTTGGTGAACTGATTATTCTGGAACAATTTTTGAGAATGCTGTGTCCTGAGCTTCAGGTTTGGATCAAGGAGCACAATCCAAAGTCTGCTGCAGAAGCTGCTACTCTGGCTGATGTGTTTGTAGCTGCCAGAAGTAGGAGTCAGCCATGGAGCAACAGTGCATGGAGAGCTGCCAAAGACTCACGTCGGTCACAACCCTCTCAGCCTCATCAAAAGCTAGCAACGGGTGTGGGTAAGCCTTTTTTAAGAGAAAATCAGCCTTCCAAGATATGGAAAGGACCACCAGTGTGTTACCTCTGTGGACAAGAAGGTCACACCAAGCCCATGTGCCCCAAGAATCAAAGTAAGCTAACTCAAATGTGTTTTGTGCCTCAAGAGAGGATGGATATTAAACTCGAAGTAAAGCAGTCAAATAAAATCATTCAAGTGAAGATTGCTGGACATAAAATGAATGCTTTAATAGATACTGGCAGCACACAGACTCTAGTACACAAGAATCATGTACCAACTAATTGCATATGCCCTTTTGAAACAATATCAGTTTGCTGTGTACATGGTGACGAGAAAGTGTACCCCACTGCTGATATGTTTGTTGAGGTGCAGGGGACTCCCTACCTGTTGAAGGTTGGGGTAGCTGATAACCTACCTCCTAGTTCTTGGGGAGGATCTCCCTGTCATTTATGATTTATTGAGGGAGGTACAGAGCTGTAATGTGGCTGTAACCAGGGCACAAGCTAAAAGTCAAGATGAGCATTTTGCAACACTCAGGGCATTACCCTTTTTTGAGGCCGAGTTGCAGACAGAACCTGGGAAGTCTCGGAAGCCACGGAGAAAAAGGCGTGAGAAATTTCAACATGCACTGTGTGAGAGTTCAGCTGAAGTGGCTCCAGATATGCCACTGGGTTTTTCGATACCCACAAACATCAGACAAATGCAGCAGAATGATCCAACTTTGTCTGCCTTGCTGCTGAAGGCTAAGGGGGAGGCCTCTGTAGGGTCTGACATAAATAAAGAGCAGTATTTTCTGCAAGATGGCATTTTATACCATAAACATGGCCAGTTAAAGCAGTTAGTTGTCCCTAAGAAGGCTCGTGAGACAGTGCTGACGTTGGGACACTCTATTCCTTGGGCTGGCCACCTGGGGAAGTATAAGACCACTGCTCGCATTAAGCGGTACTTTTTCTGGCCTGGTTTAAGATCAGATGTTGCTTTATTTTGCAGAAGCTGCCCTGAGTGTCAGAAAACCTCAATTAGAGTCCCGACCAAAGCACCACTTCAACCTCTTCCCATTATTGGCACACCTTTTCTACGTCTTGGGATGGATATAGTTGGACCTGTGGAAAAAAGTAAATCTGGAAATCGCTTTATGCTGGTTATTACAGACTATGCAACCAGATATCCTGAAGTTTTTCCATTAAAAACTGTTAAAGCAAGGCATGTGGCTTCCTCACTGATTCAACTTTTCTCCAGGGTTGGATTCCCACAGGAAATTTTAACTGATCAAGGCACTAACTTTATGTCCACACTGTTGAAACAGGTCTATAAGCTGTTGGGCATCAGGAGCATGAGGACGACACCATATCACCCACAGACGGATGGTCTGACGGAGCGGTTTAACCAAACCCTCAAACAAATGCTTCGTAAGTTTGTTAATGATACAGGATCGGATTGGGATCAGTGGCTGCCATACCTCCTTTTTGCCTACAGGGAGGTTCCTCAGGCTTCCACAGGTTTCTCTCCCTTTGAGCTCCTTTATGGCCATGATGTGAGAGGCCCTTTGACCCTGCTGAGAGATGCATGGGTGGGAGATCAAAGTAAAGAAGACCCTGTTAACATTATCTCATTTGTTCTCCATATGAGGATAAACTGCAGCAGATGAGTGAGTTGGCTCAGAGTCACATGGCAGCTGCTCAGAGACACCAAAAGGTTTGGTTTGATAAAAAAGCTCGTTACAGAAGCTTTGTTTCTGGTCAGAAGGTTTTGGTAATGTTGCCAACTTCTGACAGCAAGCTGCTTGCAAAGTGGCAGGGACCTTTTGAAGTACTGCGGAAAATTGGACCTACTACTTACCAAGTCTCCACACCAGGTTTCCAGCGAGGGAGTCGAGTGCTCCATGTTAATCTTCTCAAGGAGTGGGTTCCACGGAAGGAGAATGAAACGGAGGTATTGCTCATTCGCAGAGTGGACGAGGAGGAAGAGGTTAATGACTATTTGCCTTCAGTAACATCCTCTGGGCTGGACCTAAGCCATCTCACCCGTGAGCAACAGTCTCAGGTAATGCCTCTTATTACTTCTGACATATTTCAAGAGTGCCCAGGTCGCACTGCTCTGGTGGAGCACAGCATTGTTCTAAAACCGGAAGCTGTTATAAAACGCCTGAGTTACAGAATACCAGAACGCTTCCGGGTGGAGCTGAAGGAGGAGCTGGACCTCATGCTCTCTAGGAATCATTCAACCTTCAGCAAGTGAGTGGTGCAACCCAGTTGTTTTGGTTCCAAAAAAGGATGGCAAGATAAGATTTTGCATTGACTTCAGGTACCTTAACTCCATATCAAAATTTGACTCTTACCCAATGCCACGTATTGATGACCTCATTGAGCACCTGGGGGAAGCAAGATATTTAACAACTATTGATCTATCTAAAGGCTACTGGCAGGTGCCTCTTTCTAAACAGTCCCAGGAGCTGACTGCATTTCGCACCCCCTGGGGATTGTTCGAGTTCACGGTCCTTCCATTCGGTCTGCACGGGGCCCCAGCAACATTTCAAAGACTAATGGATCAGGTACTCTGTGGGCTCTCAACATTCACCTGTGCATATCTTGATGATGTTGTGGTTTTCAGTGGAACTTGGGAAGAGCACGTTGACCATCTGAAGGAGGTCCTGGATCGGCTGCGTTCCGCAGGCCTTACCATCAATCCAGCAAAGTGTGCTCTTGCTAGGACAGAAATACAGTACCTTGGGTACACCATTGGAGGTGGCACTCTTAAACCTCAAGTGGACAAAATTAATGCAATAGCATCCTGTCCGCTCCCACAAACCAGAAAACAGCTACGGTCTTTTCTTGGAATGGCTGCATTTTACCACAGATTCATCCCCAATTTCTCAAGTAGAGCAGCATCCCTGACAGACATGACGGGTTCCAGAAGTCCCACCAAAATTCAGTGGACAGCAGATGCCATTGCAGCTTTTAAGGACATTAGCCAATCCCTGAGTAAGAATCCAGTTTTGCACTCACCAGATTTTACAAAAGACTTTTTGTTGCAGACTGATGCTTCTAAAAGGGGTCTTGGGGCAGTGCTTCTGCAGGGACCACCAGAGGACCAACATCCAGTTGCCTACATTAGCCGCAAGCTGCTGCCAAGGGAGAGGCGATATGCAACTGTGGAGAAGGAAGCCTTGGCTATTAAATGGGCCCTTGACTCATTCAAATATTATTTGTTGGGAAGAGAATTCACCCTTCAAACTGATCACAGAGCCCTCCAGTGGCTAGAAAAAATGAAAGACACTAATGGCAGAATCACCAGATGGTATCTTGCTATGCAGCCATTTCACTTTAAGGTTCACTACATTCCCGGCAAAGACAACATCACTGCTGATTACCTTTCTCGGTGCCAGACTGAAGACCAGGAAGTGGGGGGGTGTGTGATGGCCAAATCCATGGCCACACCCTGATGTCCTCAAGAAGTGCTAATTGGATTACACCAATAGTTTCTGCTGGCAGGGGGATATAGTTTGTTTGGATAAGTTTCATATTTAAGAAAATATTAGTATTCAAAGTTTGTTTTTGATTTTCATTTTTGGATCTTTAGTTTAGCCAAACTTAGCTGTATTATTTGTTTTGTGTTATTTGTATTTGTTTAGTTACCCCTATTGTGTCATGGTCTGATCAGCCAGTATATAAACCCCTGTGTGTCATTTCTTTGTTAGGTCAGTTATGTTTGTTGTGCAGTTAGTTTGGTTACACTTTGCCTGAGTTCAGTTTTGTTCCTTTGACCTCTTTTATGAGCTCAGTTTATTTTTGTCATTTATGATTTTGGGTTAAAATAAAAACCCTATTTTTCTAAATACATCCTGTGACTCCTCCTGTTTAACTCGGTCCATCACACGGCTTTAAAATCTCATAACTAAATAAATAAGAGTGTAACGACTAATCAAGGACTAGTTACTCCTTGATTGTTCAATTCCTTTAGTCCAGATAAAAATTGGTTTCTATAGCAAAAAGAACAACAAATAAATGGGTTGAAGACATGTGAGCCTTTGACACGTAACTCGGAACAAACAAAATTCAGGAAAAAAAAAAAAAGAAGCATAGGACCAATACTAAAGTGGCAAATAAATGTGTTAGCATTTTTTCTTTCTTATTAAGAACAAGTGCAGTTTGTAATCGTGGCTCTCACCCATAAAAAAGGTGAGATGCACGAATATCGGCTTGAAAATCTCAGGCTGAGTTTGAGGAGTCAGCAAACGGGTGCAGAGTACAGCGACAAGACCTCTGGATATTAAATAGCCATTTATCTGTTTCATAAATGTCCGACTTCATTCGACTAAAAGATGTTTGAAACTTGCTTTTCAAACTCGTACAGGAAGTGGATAAGCTGTCCTTTGGTCCTTAGAGGCAGCAAAAAAAAAAAAGACTTGTAGTCAAAAACACTCTGGTGAAAAACTTTTTCAGTGTTTCTGAAGCAATTTCAGAGTCAGCATAATCCTAACCGTTGAATGCTGACTCTGGCTAAATGCTAACGATGGCGTCATGGCTAATTTTAAGTCATTTATCTGTCATAAAAAAAGAACAAGTGACAAAGTGGTGAAGTCAAGCAAAAGGTTCATTTTGTGGAAATGCTGCCAACCGTTAAATGGTTAACTTTGGCTGAATGCTAACAATAACCTCACGGTGCTAAATTTAAGGGAGATATTTGATCTATCCAACAAGTTTTGCCTCTAATTCAGACTCTAAAATACTTTAATGAAACTGGGATTTGATCACTCTACACTCGGCATCAGCAATATCAGCAAGTCCAAGTTAGATTAATGTCATAGTTTCTCAAAGCAAAGCTAAACTTTTGCTGTAAACCTTAAGTTGTGTGTAATCTCCTGAGCTTTCGCTACGTTGCATCCCTAATATTCTTCAACTCATTCTGAGGGACATAGAGATGGGATCTGCTTGTGGGTTTAGTTTTTACATTTTAATTTATGTAATCTGCTGGAATGGAGGAAATTACAAGGAGAAGAACATTTTTAATTTTTTGTACAGCATGTCCAATCATGCTGTATGAGTAAAGGATGAAGGGAAGGTTATTAAATAGATATGAGCACTGAGGACTTCCTTAAAAATGCCAACTTGTAAAAAAGAAAAAAAGCCAACAAGCTAGCAACATGGCTTTTACTCTATAGCCTGATAAAAACATCAGCACACTCTCTACTTTAACACTGAGCTTATGGCAGAATCTCACCATTCTGTTAATTTATCACTGTACTATAAAACATCGTTTTCTTGTCGACCATCACTGCACCGCACACGCCCCGCTGGGCAGGAAGTCCTGCACATACACCGCCACAGCCTTAGTGAGGTAGGTCATGCTCCCGAAGCGGCCACTGGGAGCGCTGTCGTACAACAGCTTGCACACTCCGGTGGACGGGTCCTTCTCCAGGATGTGCTCTCCCGCTCCCAGGTCCTTCTGCGGGGACGGGGGGCAAAACAAGAAATCCGTCTGAGCGCAGGGCTGAAATCCAGACGCGGGCGTTTGGAGCCGCCGATTCTGACCTGATCTTTGAAGAACAAGTCGTTGGCCTGGTGGACGATCTTCTCCACGTGAATGATGGAGCCGATGCTGGGGATGTCCACGTCGGCCAGCATGGTGAGGACCAGGATGGCCTCCACCAGCAGCTGTCGGTACTCGGGCTGGGGGACACGGTTCAGCACCGTCTCTACGTGGACGGAGAACTTAATCTCTCCAGGCGTCATCTGAAGACGGCAAATAATAAATAATGGAACGAGTCGAAATCATCATTCTTGAGATAAGAAAGAAAGTTCAGTTTAATTTCTCTATTCGAAGTCACATCAGTGGCGTTTTATCCAAGTGATTTCAACTCTTCGTTGGCATAGATGGAGTAAAATATTTGACTATTATTAATTAAGGGAGTCTTGAGCAATAAACGCCTAAAAACTCTTCAGTAACAGATGAAATATTTCACCAATCCCAAACTGAACTTTACAGTCTCTCAATCTGCAATAAGACTAACTTGGACCTGCTAATATATTGTAGTGTTGATCCTTGTCTAAAGCTGAAAAAGCATTAAAATGTGTTTTCACACACAGGATAAATGTGTCTCGGTGTACAGTATCTCCCAGATTGTTTTGATATTAAGTTTATTTGAGGAAATGTAAAAACTTAAGCAGTGGAGAGATTTCTTACCTCTCTGGTGGTTGAAGATGGAAGGACAAAGCCCTCTATGGACAGACCGTGGCACTGCAACACAATTAGGGCAGTTTATCTCTGCCTTATAAAATAGGTTGGATTCTTTGATAATATGCTTGCCAAAATAAAATAAGTCCTAATTCTAGCACCATCCAAACAGACTAATGAATACTTAGCTGAACGACGCTTTCTTTAACCGCTCTACTTGTAAAAAGATACAGGCAAGAATACGTTCTCTCACGGATTCCAAACTTGCGATGCTTCACAATAGGGTGAATTAGTCACTGGATAATGAATAACAAACGTCAAGCAGACAGACCTTCTGCAGGATCTTCCACACTTTCTGGTAGAAGCCAACGGGGACCCTGTTCAGCGCTCCGTCCAGCCGCCTCCTGCGCAGCCACTGGCCATGTCTGGTGTCCTTGGAAACAGGGAAGCTGTCCGGAACGTCAATGGACTCTACAGAGGGCAGCCTGTACCTCTGCAGGGTGAGGATGACAAAAGACGAATCTCTAAAGCCCAGCGTTTCTCAACTGCGGTCCTCACGCCCCCTCACCCCTGCCCTGCATGCTTTAGGTGTTTCCCTTCTGCCACACACCTGGGTTGGATATGTGGGCGATTAACAGGCTTCTGCAGCACTTGATGGTCATGCAAACATTAGAATCAGTTGCTCTGGAATACAGGTGCATCTAAAACACGCAAGGACTGGAAATGAGAAGCGCTGCTGTAACCACTGATGGTATGTGGTGAAATAGCGCCCCCTGCTTGTTTAAAAGCACAGCAAAACGTTTTTAGACGCATTCACAAAAAGTGACAGAGTTATTTAAAGGTTTATTCGATTAACATAAATTCAAATGGATTAACTATTAACGTCCGCTTGGACCTTCTTTTAGTGTTGTAGTTTGGCCGCCATCCAGCAGAGGGCTCCGCTGGTCACCTTTGGCGGAGCCAACTGAACAAAGATGGCGGCGCAAAGCCAGAACGGGAAAGCCAAAAGGTCCAAATGGAGTCCAGCGCGGGATGCAAAAATGCACTTTATGTGGTTCTGTTTTGAAACATAACCTCTAAACAAATGCCTGAAGTTACCACTTTAGTGGCGCTCATCCAGCTGAGCTGCATGACGGAGGAGCGTCGACTTCTCTACCAAAAACTACTGATATGGAACAAGGAGGATGTGCAGACATCCTCTTCTGCACATCCTCAGGTGTGAGAATAACTCTCTGTTCTTGGGGAGTTAGGTGTTTCACATATTTCTTCCTTTTAAACTTTTATTTTTCTATTCAGCAACCCGAAAGGTTTCTTAAGTTGTTAGGTTTTATGAGCATGTCCACGTTTAATAATGTTAGAAAACCATTACATTACTAAATCCAGGTGATATTGCTAAAAATGCTTCTGAAAACTGGCAGATAAAAGCAGATTTTTACCCCAGATTCGATGTTTTCTACGTCCACTGACTGAGCTCGGACTCCCTGAGAGGCAGAACAAACAAACAAATGGAGATAATGAACAAAAGAATGTAGAAAAAGTAATGAATGGGATCAACCCCGGACCAATAGAGTCACAACATGCATAATCGCACACCAGTGTCAGAAACAACGGGGATTAACGAGTAGTTCAGAAAAATCACCTGGAGGAATTAGTCAAGTTGTTATAAAAAAAAATAAAAATTTAATTTGAGGAAATTAAACGAATTCACCATCTTCAGTCAGGCAGCAGTTAATTCCAAAATTATCCCGTTAAATGTAAAACAAAAACAGAAAGAAAGCACCAGTTTTCCCCCTCGGCTGTCGAATCGAATGATCTCTAGTGAACGTCAACAGATGGTCTATTTTATTGTCACCTTGTCGGTGGGCGTCACAGGCTGGTCCAGCTGAAATACAGAAACATGATTTAAGGTTTTGAATTCACGCCGACGAACCTGGTTTTTATCCAGATCTTACAGTCTGCTTCGACCAACGCAAAGAACGAGCTGAGAAAGTCAGAGGTGTTGACAGTCATGCTAATGTCCGTCAATAGCTTCATTTTTTCTTACCAAATTCTGATTTATTTTGAAAAACTCTTAACAGTGTTGAAAAAAATGACAACATATAGCTGTTTTCAACTTAAAATTAATCACTTGAAAACTCCTCTTATTATCTGCTATTGACTGTATGCGACAATGATTTTGGCAATTTAAATACATAAATGTGAGCAAAACATGCTACGATGGTTAAAAAAAACATACAAAGGAGGAAATAAGAATACAAGAAAGACTGATAAAAAATAGCAGAGAAAATGGTAGAAAAACATAAGATCACTAACTGGAGGAAAGAGGAGACGGAATAAAAATATGAAAAAAAGACAGAAAAAAGAAAATAGCATTTTCAAAGCGTTCTATCTGTATTAATTAATTCTTGATGCTAAACGCAGAAGCGACGTTCCACTGGGTTCCAGAGAGAAGCTGCTGTGCAAGAACAAAGACTTAAAACTCCTGGTCAGGATCTTGAATCTCTTTAACAAACTTGATTTTATGTGAAAACGACGATGATGACGATGAGGTAAATTAATGTTCTGTCCACATGTAACACACAACGTAGAAAAGAGACCAGATTTGTGTCAATTTGTTCAGACTTTCATGTATTTTTTTTTCTTTGAAAATCAGTAACGTTAAGCTAAAATGTCAAACAGAAATTGACCGCAGATCACCAAACAGTATTTTCCTGTGGGAGACCCAACACCATCGATTTTCCCATGAGGATTACGGTCCAAATAAGATCCAGCAGGAAAAAAAACAAAAACGACAAACACCAGCTCCTTCAGTAAACTGGATTTCTGAGTCAGTTTTAAGAATCAAGATTATTTTTCTCCATTCAAACTTGATTTGTGCAATAAATGAGATTCTTTTTGGTTGTTTTTTTTTTTTTCTTCAAAACTTTAAATCACCATCAGTGAAACTGAAATCATTTTCCTCATCTGCACCCTTCGGGTGAATTGACACCCACTATAACATTCAGCATCACCTTACTGGGGTCCAGCATGGACAACCTGCGCTCCAGCTGCAAGAAGCACAAAAGTAAAGTTCACCTTATTGTTTAAAATAAGACAGTCATGTCCCAGAATCTCGCTTTCCTCTGTTTAAAAACATTTGTTGAGTTCGCCTCTCAGTACTTAGTACTGTTTAAAAGTTGTGATCGTGTTTCTCGCTCCACTTCTGAATGCAGGTCGGGTTAAAAGTGTTAATGTGTCGTTGAGCCGCGGCTGCCTACCATCTTCATGTCGCTCTTCAGTTTACTGATGCCTGCTCTCTCGCTCTTGGTGGCGCCGGTGTTGCCGAGATGATGGATGGAGATGGCAGGACTGACGCCGACGTCTGCCTCCCTGACTGCGGACGACGAAACCAAACACACAGTCTTACATTTTGCGGGGCTCCTGCGTATTATCCCCCGACATTAAATGTTTACGTTTTATTCTTGATTCTCGCTTCGTAAAAACGTCAACAACTTAAAACCTCAAGAAAGAAAAGCAAAGGAATAAAAATGAAAGGCAGAAAGAGAAAAGCAAAGAGAAAGAAAAGAGATGGATAGAAAGACAAAGAAATGAGGACTGAAATGAACAAAAGCAGAATTAAAGAAGGAAAAAGGTGGAAAGGAAGAATGAAAAAAGGCAGAAAGAAGGAGATAAAGAAGAAATAAAACAAAGAAATAGATAAAGAAAGGAAAGGAGAAAAACAGAAAGAAAGAAAGAAAGAACGATACAAGACAGGCAGGAAACAACAAAAACATTAGGAATCAAAGAAGAAAGTGAGATACGCTGTACGGAGGGGAAGAAAGGAGGGACACAAGGAGGAAGGGAAGATGGACTCAACGTTTAGACAACAGAAAAGGAAAAACGTCTGGAGCACAGATATCAAATCCAGATCTCAATTAGACAACAGATAAAATATACGCAGCCAGGCTGTGCAAATGAACTCAAAACAACAAGTTGTGATCATGGAGGACTGACCGCTGCGCTGCACTCCGAACTCTTTCCCACTCAGGATGTGGTGCAGCAGGTTCTTCAGCTCAGACGGGCTGAGACTCATCAGGCTCTCTGTGGCTTCCTCTCCTGCTCAAGCACACAAGAACAAGTCCAGGATGTTCTTCCTCCGTTTTCAATTCGACTCACTTAGAGCAACGCCGTCAGACCTCTAACAGACCGACCGACTGGCGAAACAAACGCCCACCTGAGCAGCTGAGTGCCTGAGCCAGTTCGGTAGCCATGACCTGAATAATGAGGCCGATTCGCAGCCGGAACATCTCGCTGAACAGGGACGGCTGAGTCCTGATGCTCATCGCCAGGTACACCATGATCTCCTAGGAAGACGGGCAGAGAGGTGGTTACGACGGCTCGGAGCGACTCGCAGGAGGTTATGTGGGGTGGGGGAGACGCGGTGAGCCACCTGGGTGAGGATGGCCACGCTGATGTTGTTGTCGCTGGCCTGGTCGATGAGAGCGGCCAGCTGGTCCGGAGGGATGGGAGCCGTGATGGTCTTCTCTCTGGGCTCAGGGGGAAGTCCCACGGTCAGGTGCTTCTGGTGCGCCAGCAAGTCAGAGCACGCCTGCGCAATGTTGGGGAGATGGATTTGGAAACATTTCTGCACTCCTAAAATGCTTACGTTTAAAAAAGGTTTACAATCAATTTTGATGTCAAAGTTTTCCCAGACTCTTGTTTTCCACACCTCCAGGTTGCACACTGTTTTCAGATGCAACATGAAAAAACTAACTATGAAGTTATGGCTGATAATTTGATAGCAGAGAGCTTGGAATAGGCTGGATCTTGGGAAAAAAAGAATGGAATGGAGGAAAGAGAAACTCAATTCCTGAAGCTCCCAGGAATTGAGAGGATCCCTCAAACGGCAACGCAACCGCTCCGTACCGAGTCCAGCTCCTCCACCTTCTTCTTCAGCATCCCAGAGATCATCCTGATGAGGCCCCAGTGTTTGAGGTCGCCAGCCTTCTCATACAGCTCACTCAGTAGAGATCTGACTGTGGAGCCTTTGCCTTGCAGCTGGGTGTCCCAATCCATACCCCTGAGAACAAACACAAACAAGACGGTTACTGTGGACTGCAGCAGCAGCGGTCCTGTTCGACTGCGCTGACGTGCATAGGTCAAAGTCTTACTTGTCTTTGAAGAGGATGTAAAGGATGTCTGCCTGGTCCTGGAGGTTTTTTGTGTCCTTCAGCAGCCGCACCAGCGCGTCGTAGTCGACGGCTCCGCTTTCGTCTCTGGGGACGCCGCTCTCCGCTGTGATCGGCACCGCCGAGCTCTGGAGGACGGACGGAGGGAGACGCGGTCAGAGTGAGGCGGGCGTTTGGTGAAGGCGAAAAAGAAGAAAGGGAAGAACAGGGAGAACCTGCGTTTCCTGCGGCTCGGAAGGGTCTGGGAGATTCAGGTTCAGTGACGGCTGACAGGAACGAAACAGCTTGCTCGGTAGGTACATGTTGACGTCTGGACAAAGAAGAAATAAAAGAGGGGGAAAAAAAGGCACAGGGATCACATGGTGTATGCAGGTTTTACTAACTCAAATTTAAGACTTACTATAACCATTTTAAGACCATTATGAATAAAATTTAAGACATATCTCACGACAAATGTAAAGAAGAAATGCAGGGAACCAAAGCTATGAAATTTTTGGGGTCTTTTTGTGGCTCTGGGCTGCAAGCTAACATAGCATACGGCTAGAGAGCCAGCAAGTTTCATCATAGCTAGTTGTTCGAGAGTCAACTAGCTATGATGGCTAGTTGGCAAACAAAATAAAAGTCAAACAAAGTGCAGGAACCAGACCCAGAAATGGGGAAACAAATGTAAAAAAAATCTGACATCAACAAAGAGAATCTACTCTTGTCCTCTGCTCTCTAAGCTAAGGTCATATGCTAGCTGCTGATGACTTGTTTGCTTGCTAGCGAGCAAGCAAGTATTGGCAACTTATCCTATCTGCCTTTAGACACAGAATGCAGTGAGTGAGGATGTCTGTGCACAACTCAAACTTTTGCCTGACAGAAAAGTCCCGCGAGAAAAAAAAATCTACATAGAATAAGATTAAACAGTCTTTCTACACCAAAATTTAAGACCCGTGATTATCATGTTTGAGGCTTATTTACGTTTTCATAAATTTCTTAAGGCCTTAGTTTAAAATGAATCATGTTTTAAGGATGCATGGACACCCTGATTGAGAATCATTATCTTCAGAGAGTTTAGAAACAGATGTCCTGCAACGGCTCACTGTGTACGTTCAGATCCTGAGCCTTGTTCATCAGAGACACCATCTCTTTGGTCTTGGTGGCCGCCGCCTTGAACCTGCCCAGGCCTCCGGTCTGATGCTTAGTCTTCTTGGGGGAAGAGTGAGCCAACAGGTGGTCCAGATACTGGGCGAGGTCGTCAGCTTCTGGAGGAAGGGACGGCAAGGAAACAGCAATGAGTAGCAGAAAGGGGCAAATACAGTATGAGGACAAAGGAAATAAAAGACTCAACTCACCTTTCTTTAAAAAAAATTAAATAATTTAAAATAGTCAAAACGATTTGAAGGTCTGAAAAATCTATTTTTAGTTAGATTCTTTCATTAGCATGCAAGAAGTGTTACAGAGAAATGTGATGCATTTGGGAGAAAATGCACCAAACCAGCTGTGCCAAGTTATGCCAAAATGTTTTCACTCCAGCATAATTTGCTATTTTAATTTAAGAAAGCAAACATTTTCCAAGTGAACTCAAGCTGTCATGCATCTTTTTTGTAATTTTTTTTTATAAATGATGGATTGATGCAAACTCAATACACAACATGCTGCCTCACCACAACCACCATCGCGATGGTGAAACGCTACACAGGATGAGGGTCAGTGTGATGTAGAAGACAGTCGTGATTAATGCAAGTCTGCAGGTGATTCAGGTTTATGATGGCGCTCCAGGTAAATTATGTTAAAGATACGCTCAGAGAGGTTAGTTTGATCATCATTTACAATGACAGAGAATTAAATTTATTGTTATAATCGGAAACAAAAATAATAGTTATTCAGTCCGATCCAGTTTCTTCATGGGCAAATGCTTGCAACAAGAGATAAATTAATACTTTGTACCGACATTTGACACCATGAATGTATTTTTTGAGTGCTTTCTACAAGGAATGGTAAAACATACAAAAAAAGCATGTAACCTATAGCAGCTGGTGTCACCATTCCTCTCCATCATCCAGACTTTATTCTTACCATCATCACAACGTAATTCATGCATGTATCCATCGCCGTCATCATCATCATCATCATCATACTGGTCGCCGTGCCGGCCCATGCTGCCGGAAACCTTACCATCGAGGAAGCTGAGGTGAGCGCAGCAGGAAGTGGTCAGGAACTCCGACAGCTTTCCGGTCTGGGTCCTTACAGACGGAGTGAAGAATTGATTTATGGTGTTTACAAAGTTTGTACACTTTTCCCACAGTAGGATACAAGAACTTTACAGGGCAAGTTTTCTAACTTGACCAATTCAGCAATACAAAAGAGCTAAAAAAGCTAAACAAAACACAGTTTCAATTCACTGTTGGATAGTAATTGATTACTGTTACTAATAATGTCCAGTTTTCTACATTTTTCAGCAGGGACAAACTTTTATGTTTTGAAATATCTCTCTATATATGTGATTGGTCTATGAACAAAAACGTTGACAAAATAACAAAACACAATTTCAAAATATAATCTTTACTTCAAATACACAGAAATAATTGATATTTCTTAATATAAAGAAAGCTACAAAATAATCTCTAGAAAATCTTTTCTGTCATTTAGGAAATATAACTTATTTTGACCACTCTCACTGACTTCAAACAAGAAAGAAATTAGTCCAATTTAGGCAGCGAGAAAAAAAATATGTATATGAATTTTTATATGGAAGGCATCACCTGAAAATAACATTTTCGAAATGAAAGTTTTTAATCAAAGGTTAAATTTGCACTTTCTTACAAAATTGTACAGTTTGACTATCCAGTACCTTCAAGGACTTCATACAGAAATCCAGCACTTTCCAAACCTTGCAAGAACCCAATGTAAAGTGGACAATCATCCAACATAAATCCACCTTGCTCCTCCGTAATATCCGTCCTGTAGCTTCTTTAGCGTAGCTATGACTGCAGGGTCCAGGTCAGTGTGGTCTTCAGCTGCAGCAGAACAAAGCAAAACTGCCGTCACAGAGGCAAAGCATGACCAGGTTTCACAGAAGGAACACGCAGCGGAGACAAACACGCACTCAGCATGGTCTGCGAGATGGGGAAGGTGACCGTCGGTCGTCCGGTTATCCTCCATCTTGACGCAAGGTAGGCAATCTCGTTCCTCAGCATCTCCACGATCATCTTGTTGTCCAGAGCCAAGTAGAACTGCTGGTGGTCGATAAACTGTTTGGTTTTGGCAAAAAAAGAAAAAAAAAAGCATACAGGATGAGAGGTTTTCAATGTGAAACTTTTGGGATTTTATTCCAAGTATCTATTGTTTCTCATTACCTGAGGAGTGAAAGCAAAGATTGTGTTTCTAATGATGTAGAACTTGGAGGTTCCCAGGACTCCTATTCTTCTGTAGGGTCTCCCTGTCAGGCCGAGCCTTGGGTTACGGCCTGAAACGGACGAGGAGAATCACAAAAGAAAGAGAAGGTGAGGAAAAAAGTGACATTTTGTGCCACCCGATGTCATCCAACAAGATTTTATGTAATCTGTATACTCTAAATCTGTGCTCCGGACTCTTATTTTGAAGCACAAAAGGAAGCAGTTATTGGAAACAAAACCGCTGAACTGCTCTTTTTACGTCGTTTATTAGAAAACATTTTTGAGTAAAAATTTATTGAGCCCCAAACAAGATATGAAGTTCCTGAGCACTGTGAGAACACCGGCTAAACGTTAGCCGCTAACGTTTAAGTTAGCAACATATTTTAAGCTTCCTACTGGCGCTAAGCTGCTACTTCAGTTTTCTACATAAAGTCTGGACTTAGTTTACGATCTACAAACTCTCAAACCTGAACTGGATACTTACTTACTGAACCGAGATTCTTAAAAGCAAAAGTTGAGATTCACTAAATGTATTTTTGTTTGTGGAAAAAAAGGACAATTTCATTGATTTTCTGACAATAGTGCCACCTCAGAATGAGACAAACATCAAGCTAGATTATACGGACTGGTCAAAACTAGACAGAATTATTCTATACAGATTTTAGATTACGTAAGACCCAGTTTATTATTACATGTGAAACCTTCCGCCAATATGAGAGACCGAAAAAGGATTTTATTTTTATTTCCACCGGTTCTAAAGAACTCTTCTTGACACAAGAACAAGAGATGATGTGGAGCGTGTACCCAGTCTGGCGTAGATGTGGCTCAGGACTCTGGACGGCTGAACATGGATGGGATGGATATCCGCCACGGTCTCCACGTTTATACCGTTCTTCATCAGCAGCCCCTTAATCTCCTCCGTCTCAGCCAAAATGGACACTAAAGGAGAAAACCAGTGTGTTTAGGTAAAAACAATCAAATGACTGCAGGACTGAATTGGCTTTGGCTGTGAACTCACCCTGTACAACTACATCAGGCTTAGGGATCGTGGAGAACCGTCTGTTAAGGGGATCGATCTCTCCGGGGGCGAGAAAACCCTAAAAACATAAGAACCGTTTATAGGGCTTCTGCAGGTTTCACCAACTCAAATTTAAGACTTTTTAACTACATCCCAAAAGAAATGTACAAACTTCATCCAACCAACTGGAGTTAAATTTATACTTCCCCAGCATGAACACAAAAAAGCTAGCTAGCTAGTAAGGGTATGTTAGCAGTGAGTCACAGAACGCAATAAATTCTGCATGTGACTCAAATTTTTGCCTAACAGTAAAGATGGAGATTAAATAGGCCTAGTAAGACCAAATTTAATACCTATGATTAATGCTAACTTACATTTTTAAAATGTCATTTAAGGCCTTAATTTTAGGCTATGAATTTAACATGTTTTATGACTTTTTAAGGTTTTTAAGGTTAAGGACAACTACTTATGCATTAAATAGTTCTGATTTAGTTTTCAAAGAACTAATTTATTTAATGTTCAAGATTGTATGTTTGCTACATCCATTCTTTTATGTTTACTAAGCTGTTTTGTAAACCTCCTGGTATTACTTCATTGAACACAAGCAGGATTTTACTGAAGGTTTGGAAGCCTTTGGTATTGATGAGCAACAGTAAGCAGCATCAGACAGACCAAAGAAACCAATTACAAACAATGAGAACAAGTTTGTCATGTTTGGTCACCTCAGAGAGGAGTTTTCCAAGGATGTACAACGATTGACCCCATTTTAAAGGACACTTTCCCATTGGGATCCTTTCTACTGAGTGAGGGTTCATGTACTCTTCTTCCACCTGTTTGAACATCCAAGCACATAGAGGGAGAGATTTACAATCACCTAAAATCCATTTTTCACTCAAAGATGTCAGTCTGAAGCTAAGATTAGATATGAAAGACGTCCTAGAGGTTGAAATTCATCACCTTATCCGGAGGGACACTGTAGAGTTCTGGCAGCAGCTGGATCCCATTTTTCTGTTTGATCAGGATCGCCTCCAGCGCCTCCTGGTACTCCAGCACCTGTAACCAACATCAGCGGAAATATACAGAAAACACGCCCACGTACCTCCATGTGCAAAAGAAAGAACAACATTGTTTTAATAATTTACCTATAAAAGGAATTATTTAATAAAAATGAGGTATAAAATTAGGCAAATACAAACTTAGATGAATGACATTTAACTTTTTACTGATATCTGGACCAAAGTTTAACCCCTAATAACACTTACATGTTATAGTTTTAAATATAATGGTTCATCTTATTGAAGTATGCAGGTTTTGTTAATGCATGGCTTCCTGTCATTTGTATCATACATGCTATAATAGATTGGTGTAAAATTTAAGGTCAAAGGCCGATGAAAGGTACATTTTCTGGGATGCACTGGGAAGACGGCCAATTGTCCCAATTTCTGCCAATTGTCCCAGTGTCCTAATCGACGTATTTGATCAGTGGCACCCAAGACCTACAGTTCATTAAAGGCAAACTTAGTCTTAAAAATTGAATTGCACAATCAAGAATTATTTTCCAGCAAAAATAAACAAAAGTGAACATTTATTTCCTGTCGGTCAATGAGGCATAAATTACCTGCTCATGACTGTTGCTAAAAATGCCGTCAAGTATGAGATACGTCCAAAACAGAGGCCACTCGCACTCTATGTTTTCAAACAGCTTCAGCTCAGCGGACTCGTAGTACAGCCGGTTTGGATCCTTTACGGAGAGAAACACAGATCAGGCCAAATGTGTAGAAATTTATGCTTCTAACAATAAAAAACTCTAAAAGTTGACTATAAGCTCCCAGGGATTCAGGAAGGTCAAGCACACAGTTAAAGCGGTTCCATTATATCGTTGAATTTTAAGGCCTTAATTTTGGATAAATGATAGCTGGTGACCGATTTTTTAATCCACCCACCCCCACACAGCCATATTGCTCTGCACTTTGCACTGTCACATCATCTGCACTTTGCCATAATTGGACCTACTGCTTCTTCCTTGGTGTGGTTGAGTGCCTTTAGTTAATTTTAGTTGTATATATTGTTATTATTATTATTGTGTGTTTATTTTATTTATTGTATATATTTGACTTTTTGCACGGGAGTTGCAATAGAAATTTCGCTGAATCCTGTTCAATGACAATAAATGCTATCTAATCTAATCTAGTTTCTTTTGAAAAAATAAAACAACAAAGTTTCATACCTTCAATCCTTTAATCAGAGAAACTAAGATCATCTGAGACATGCATTCACTGCCATGGTGACAGAATCTTTCTGCATTCATGCAGCATCCCTCGGTTTATTGCTGCCCACAGCTACTTTCCACCCAAACAAAACCCAACAGAAATAAAAATCTCCTGGGCTTAAATTGCTTTGATGATTAAATTTAAGAGAGAGAGAGAAAAAAAAGGTCACAAACACATTAAAATAAAAGTAACAGTTCAGTTTGCTCCTTCTCAGACGTAACGAGATAATGTTTTGTGAAAAGTAGAAGAAGAGAGCTGTGTGTGGGGGTTTTTTGTGCTCCTTTTTACCTCTCGGGGAGTTCTGTGGCCGTCTCTGAGAAACCTGCAGCAGCCGTATCGACCCTGAACACAGAGAGCAGAAGCTGATACAGACAAGTCCTATTAAGAAAGGGACTACATATGGTAAAATTAATCCTCAATTTTCATTAAAATAGGCATTTAATGAAAGCTATAGAAAGTATCAGAGCTGGAAAAGAAACATAAGTATTTCTGGCAGACTGCAGGAACACAATGCAACTGTTTCAGTGTTTCACCTACTCACATTTAAGACTTCAAGAAATTTTTAAGCCCATTGTGAATGAATGAATTTGCACTTATCCATAAAAGCTAATCAGCTAGCTAATGGCAGCCTCAAGTGTCTTGAGTCACAGAATGCAATGAAGATGTCTGACAGCGACTCAAATTTTTGCCTGACAGAAAAGTCTTGCAAGGGGAAAAAAAATTATATATGTAATTAATAATCCCATCAGGACAACATTTCAAACTTTTGATTAATTTATCGTCACCGTCCTAAAATAAAGGCCCAAGTCATTTTTGGGCAAAAAACAGAGAGAATATATCATCTTGCCTTAATTATCTTTTGGCCAAAAACATCTTTGGTGATCATTTTAAGAAGGTGACCACATTAAAGGTCAATTTGCATTTTAAAATGAATTTAAGACATTTTAAGGCATTCAGTTTAGATAAATGAACTGAAGGGTGCACAGAGACTTGTGTTTACTCTCCATGCTTAGAAAACCCTAAAAGAAATTTGCATGTATATTACTTTCTACTGTTTAGAATCAGAAACTATAATGGAAACAAGGAGATAAGCAGTTCTTCAAAACAAAGAAAAACAAAACAAAAAACAGAACAGAACAAACCTAAACTCCAAATCTCGTTTTCTACCATACGCAGTAGGAGAGAGGCTACCTGCAGCTTAGAGATGATCTCCTCCTTCGTCATGTTCACTATGCTCATGTCCTCCACAGCGAAGGCGGGGTAGGTGATGATGGCCAGGACTCCGGCGTCTACCTCTTTAGAGATGGACGCTCTGGGCAACATCGACGTCAGAATCGACTGAAAATGAAACGCAGAGAGAATGTTTGAGTTAAACAAGCATATTATTACTTTTTATAACAAGGTGTGTGTGTGTGCGCGTGCGTGCGTGTGTACCTGACAGTGCTGTATGTCATCAGCCAGAGCATGGACCACAGATCCAGGACCTCCTTTTGCTCCGAACAGGTTAAGTTCATCCAGAGCCTCCAAAGCTGCCTGTAGGTCAAGCAGCAACATTAGCTAATAAAATATTTACTGAAGACTCCAAAAAGCAGCTTTCAATCGTTAAAAACAAGAAAGAAATGTAGGCACAACTTCCAGTGGAAATCCACATGGTAGGCAACAGGCAATTCAAGATATACACGCAATGCCAACTTTTAAGCACGGTGGTGGAGGGCTGAAAATGTGGGCTAGTTGCTTAGATCTGAGCACCTTCCCGTCAATAAATGGACAAAAAGTCCTCTTGTTACTAAAGGAATCAAAAGCCATCAATCTGAAAGCTGTGGGATTGTTTTTACTGCTGTAGTTTCATCATGGACAACAACTGGTCCAATATCCTCTTAAAGGGGCAGTACTGTCTTTTCCAGCCATAAAAACATCCTTTAAGAGAATGATTTTATAGCACAACCAAGGAACTATGTTAACTTCAGTTGTTATAAAAATTTTTTATACATATCAAATATGACTAAAGAAATTTTACTTAACTCATTGAAATTGGGCCTCTGTCGTTTTAAAAACTCCTGCTCTGAAACTCCGTCTTCAGGAAGTCTTCACAACATGGCTCCTCTTTCAATCTTTTAACCGCATTTTTGCCAGCATTTCACTGAGAAGTGGCTCATATAATGAGCTCAGCAGATGCACAGTTCTACAAAGTGGTGACTCATTTCTGCCGGCCAGTCTGAAGGGGCAGAGTCGGGGAGTCGCAGAGGTTCGGTACTCTGAGAGGCCAAAGCTTTGAAACTGCACCCAGGAGGAGCTTTGACTTGTAGGCGGAGCTAGGCCAACCCGGGTGTTTTGAACAGTTGAATGGTTGCGATGGGAGATTAAAGGATTTCTCAACCATTTATGAAAGAGTTAACAATGCTCCGGGGATGTTTTTGATGAGAGAATACCATTGTATTTGAAGCTGAAAAAGAAGTCTGTATTTCACAATAATGCCCCTTAAATTAAACTCTGTGTGGGTTTACTGCAGTGAGGACTTTGCGTGCTGTGTTATTTCTGTGTAGGTGGATATTCTCAAATGACCACGGAGAACCTGATACCTCCTGTTTAGTGCCTCCCAAGGACAGCATTGGAGTCAAACGGGCAGAGCACTTGAGTGTGAAGCTAAATCTTCAAAATGATCATGTTTAGAATAAAGCTTAAGGCTTTCTTTAATATAACCCCCCCCATCATCGAGCACAGCTGTCACCTTTAAGCTCTTCTCTTTTCATTCTCCAACAAATATCAGCTCATGCTGCTCATCTTCAAATGTCAAAACAAAGCCGCTGCATCTGATCCAGAGTCGGCTCAGAGCGGTCGGGTCAGCTAAATGTCAGCGTAAAGGCCGCTGGAGTGACTGTGCAAGATATTCACGGGGACACCTGTTCTGGTTTTAGCTCTGGGTCAGGCCTCCGTTCGGACATTTACCGTTATTCCTGTGACTCTGTAAAATTGGGAGCTAACCTTAGCTGTGCCTATGGAGCTGGCATTGATCTCTGTGATGCCCTGGTTGGTTTTGTCTCCTCTCTCCCACATCCCATAATCCTGTAGGAGGCCAGACAAGAAGGAGACACTTAGAGCAGTTCCAGAACGTAAAGGTGAGGTGAGCCAGGAGGATGAACGGGCACTTACGGCCACTTTGTAAGCTGCCTCGATGTAGAACATGAGATTCTGAACGACATCCACTTCGTCTTGGGTGTAGATGATATGGAGACCTAGAGCAAAGAAACACAGACTTTACGCTCTAAGCGCATTCGGGCGTTGGGGCTAAACGGATCGGAGGCTCTTTGCTGCACCTGACGCAGTCATCTGAGCGAGGAAGAGCAAGAACAGAGAGGTGGCGTCCACCTGCAGGTGGCCCCACTGGTCGTCGCCGACGACAGTGGCGCAGGTCCTGGTGTTGTACTTGGCGTGGAGCGAGTCTTTGGTGCTCCGGCTGTATTTAAACTTCTCCACTTTGTCCAGCTGTGGGAGGAAAATAAAGACGATGAAAAACAGTATTGTCCTGACCATCTTACTCAAACAAACTGTGGAGGTGTCAAACTAATTTGTTTATAGTCCGGCGCGACTTCAAGGCTCATTTTTTGACGGGGCTGTGAGGCTTGTGGTCCGCGCCGCTTCGTCTCCACTTCCTAGTCACATATTCTCAAAGGAAGTGAATATATGACTTTGCAGGTGGAACAAGGTCGATGAACGCAACCGCCTCTCTGTCATCCTGGATTTACTGAAGCTCTGCTCTTCACCCGCTAATATCAAGTACGCCAAGCCAGATCCTTCCCGCTGCGGTAGGACCCGGCTACCTCAGATGGTCAGAACGAACTGATTCAGAGCATGGACAAAATGCTTGCAGACTTCCAGCTTTCCAGTTTCCGTGAGTTTGATAAGAAGCAACTAAACGCAGGGTATCACCGAAACCCTTTATCAACATGAGCAAGGGCCTCCTCAGGATCGACAGTTTCTAAATAAATGCGACTTATACTCAGGAAATACAGTAATTTGACTTTCCTAGAATTTCGACTGTGAAATCCTTTTGTAGGTAAGCAACACCAATGATCTTACCTGCCTCATTATACACTGGAGAACACCTCTCATCAGCTTCACCACGCTCTACGGGTAGAAAGGGTGAAATGTCAAAGGTTTTTAACGTATTGCAGCCTAAATGAAGACGTTGAGTCCATCCACACATCCACCTGTTCCAGCTCATAGGCCTTGGCCTTGTCTTCGTCTCTGTCTGCGTTCTTCCTGTAGGCCAGGCTGAGGGCCCACACGGACGCAATGCTGTACACATTGTCTCTGACCCAGGCGTCTGGATGGTCGGTGCTGCCTGGCAGAAGACCCGTCACCGGATCCTGCCCAACACACCACAACGACAGTTTCTCATATGGATGATGAGAAAGCTTAGCAACAGGGATGGAAGGCATGGTGAAAGCAAAAACAAAATATTTGGGATGAAAACAAAATATTTGGGATGAAAACGAGTGTTAATCCCAACCCAACGTAATTGGAGACGATACATGATGTCCTACTAAAATATTTACATCCGGACACTTCAGTGTGCTTTAATATGATTTTATAACACAGAAGGACAGAAAGTAGTAGTTTGTGTCCAAATATGCAGCTGCTTGTTCGGCTGCTTTTCTCAAGTGTTGCTGCTTCACAGTTCTTTAGCTCACAGTGGCAGTCGGCTCTTTCAGCACCAAGGCAGCTTTTGTTTCCAGCAGAGCAAAACCGTTCCACAGCGTGGCTACCGGCCAGGTGGAACAGAAGTGCTGCAGTAGAAGCCAAAATGCTGAGGAGTTTTAATGAAATCGAAGCAGCTGACTCATAAAAACTGAGATGCAGAGCAACGTGACTGGACCACCAGAGAGTTTTCAATTGTAACAAGATGTGATAATGGAGGACTGTTGGCTAAGTGCTCTATATTTGAGCAGTGAAGTGGACACAGCCACAAGAACTGACCGTTCACGTTCAGATATTGACCTCACATTCAGTTCCTCCCGTTTCAGAGAAAACAGGTCTGAGAGAAATTCAGACGAAAACATTTTTTGCACGGACCTGAAGGACCCAAAAGAACCACATCATCTGTGAAAAGCAAAGATGCCGCTGTGCTGCAGGCATCATTGCCACTGGTTTGTCACATAAAAACGGCACCTAAATATTTTAATACTGTACTTCACCTTTTATACAGCATATCAAAATATCTGCCTCCTGTCATGGCAGCTATGTTTCCAGAGACGGTAATAAAAACATTGCAGCGAGCTGGAGTCAAATTTTACTTTGAATGAAGTAAACACACCACAAAAATGAAAAGACATTATAAAATTGTCAAATTTAATATCAGCCAATGTCCGATATTAAATTTTACAGCGATACCGATACCATGCAGATAATATTATTATGCATTCCTAGCCATGACAGAAGTACTAATATCAAATATCGGTACCAGCCCAAATTTTCATATCAGTTCATCCCTAAACTCATATACTACCATTTTGAGGAACCAGCGAAACATTGCTTTTTTTGTTGTTGTTTTGTTTTATAGGCCACATTTGTCATGCTTAATCGTTCAGCTAAAACAAAAATGAGCTTTGTGTGTTTTATAACACACAAAAAACAATTCTGATCAGACTCAGCAAATACAGCCTCAAAGAAATTGGTACAAAGTGGTTACAAATTTGAGCTAAATAAAGGTAACAAACAACATAATTTAAAAGATTCTTGCAGTAAGGCGTTTGGAATTTGGAAGGTACCATAAACTTCTCAGATGTATTAATTTATTTTTTTTATCTTTCACAAAATCCATGGGATTAAAAGCAAAATTATGTACAAATCAAAATATCTTTTCAGAAAGTCATTTCTATAGTGCAGGCTCACATGAAAACCTTTACTACAAGTTTCTGACATGACTTTAGTTCCTCTAAGTGACTGCAAACACGCAACAACAACAACAAAAAAAACACAGCAACACAGACTTGCGAAATATACACTTTACCTCTAACTCTTTTTAGCTTCCGTCTCTGGCTGCTGTGTTTCCGACCACTAAAAGTGTCAGCTTAACTCTTAAAGTCGACAAAGTTATGCAGGACCTCATTAGCCACTCACTTGGTGCTGTAGGATAGTTTCCTGCACTATCCGGGCATAGTTGTCCAATTTAACGCCAGAGTTGCTCCTACTTCTCATGCTGGCAAGTGAAGGTCTCGCTCCTTACCAGGGCGGGTACACACAGTCCGGGACAAAAACTGTCTTAGGTTCTCGACTGAGCGGTCATTTTCTGCCGAGCTGTGTTGAATTACTAACAGCCTGAACGAAGCACAACTCAGCTGCAGTCTGGCTGCAATAAACACAGTTCAGCAGCGGGAGACGGCGAGAAAGAGGAACACGAACCCGAGCAGAGAACGCAACCGGAAGCAACTCCTGCCACCTTCAAAGTAAAAGCACACTTCACAGGAAGTGAGAATAGACCAAAATTCCAATGCGTGATAGTGCGCATATGTATTAATTGAAGTTTTAACTGTCGTAAAATTAGCCCGGCATTAATGCCAATTCTCATTTGCGCTCTAAATTAGATATTCTAACAGGATGAAAATATTTAAACCAAACAACATTTCAGAAAGAGAGATGACCACGTAACTTAAAATTAGGTCATAAACTTGAACAAAACAATCATAATCATCATAAACTTTTTCAAATGGAAAATATAATTTATAGACTGCAGAATAGTTTTATTTACAAACAAATTTGAACATCTAAAACAAAAAGGGTTGATAAAAAAGAAGTAAACAACAAAACAAAAGGAAAAAAAGCTCTCAGTGCCTTTGGTTTTCTTTTTAATGCACATTATTTGGTCAATAGATCTATTTATTTATTCAGATAAATAAATGAATATTTATTTATCTTTATTCAGATAAATAAATGAATATTTATTTATCTGAATAAATGAATAAATATTCATTTATTTATTCAGATAAATAAATAAATATTTATTTATCTGAATATTTATTACTTTTAAGACCTAATATTAAGGTCTTAAAAGTAAAAAGACTACAATAAATCCCAGAATGCATCATCGTCTACGTTCGTTCTTGCTTGGAAGCCTTCCGGCTTGAGAACGTTCCGCCCTCTTTCCAGTGCAGATGAAAGCGTACATGAACACTTTAAAAAGACTATGTATAGTCTATCTAACTTGATAGACTTCTAAATTGAGTTATATCTTATTCAATTTTGATATTTTGCTTTTTTAAAAAATATATATTTTACTTGTTTCACAGCAGCGGTTACTTCGCCTGAGCGAGGGGGAATGTTGACGATGTAACACCAGACCAGCGACAAGAGAGCCTTTTGGCATCTTTTAGCTAACTGTTTGCTTTTAGACCATTTTAAACAGACTCGTTCAACACAATTCAGCGCAACTCCAATGAGTGCCAGAGAGCACAGTGATGGAAGCAGCAAACGGAGAGTGGCGTATGTCTACAGCCCGGAGTACATCGAGACGTGTGACACTTTATCCAAAGTCCCAAACAGGGTGAGGAGAAACAAACGGGTTTGGAAACAGCGTTAGCTTCTGTTTGGTTTGAATTCGCACGCAGAAAGTCTGGTCTAAACGGGATTTTCTCGATGTTTTCCGTGGCCAGGCGAGTATGGTCCACTCCCTCATAGAAGCTTACGGACTGCTTCCACACATGAGGTGAGTTGTTCAGGGTTACTCTTTGAAACTTTACAGGTCGACAAAAAAATAAATAAATAAATAAAAAATGCTGGCTTGCAAAAAACATATTTGTGAGCCATTTGAGTGTTTTAAATTTGTCTTTTTTGTTGTTGTTGGGAAAACAAAATGAATGAAACATGCATCCATTTTAATCCTTATCCCAATACAAGTCAGAGTTGACTAAAAAAAACCCCAACAACTTTCAAATGGCATCCAGAGAGCAGAAACAATAGGTGTTTAAAAACAAGGACAATTGGGGTTTTTCAAAAGATTTGCATCTCTTTTTAGTTACATTTTTAAGTTCTGAGGCAGCAAGGCTGTTGGAGAGCTGCACAGCAAATAAGTGAGATTTTTGCATCCTTACGGAGCATTATGGCATGTCCTTCCCCCCAGCAGCTGTCAGTCCTTATATCCATCTCTGCTCCTGACAAACTCAATGCGTGTTTAGATCTCTGCATGCAAGTAGTGTATCTTATATGCAGAAATATACATTTGTGCATAAAAGTGTATATATTTATTTGCACAAACTACTGCATATGGACAAAAAACTTTTTCTGACCACCCAGTTGTAAAAATAGAACAGTATTCTCTGATACTGTTCCTTTTCTGTTTTTTATTTTTGTCTTAGTCTAAAAATGCATGGATGCATTTACTTTCAGCTTCTCCAATGGGGGACAATAAAGGATATTTCTACTGCTAGCTTAAGTTGTTTACAACGTAATGTGGCAAATTAAATCAAAATTTGTCATTTTAATGGTTTGAAAGCATCACCTCCCCTCTCCCCCCAAAAAGAAAGAAAAACCTGAGTTGTAATTGCTACTGTTTCTACTACTTTACATGATAACCCAACTATTTAGCTTTGTTTCAAAAGCAGATATCATCCAAGGTTATAATGCATGTCTCCTCTATGTAATTTTCCTAAACATAGAAAGTTTTTTTTTTTTTTTTTTTGCATGTTGACATTGTAGTGCACAGTTGCTTACTTCCATTGGGACCCCGGTTAAGCCCTTCAGGTTGTTTTTCTGTTTTTTTTTTTTTCTCTTTCCTCCAGCGTTGTGAAACCTCGAGCTGCCACAATGGAAGAGATGGCCATGTTCCACACAGACTCCTACCTGGAACATCTGCACAAGATCAGCCAGGACGGAGACAACGATGACCCCCAGTCAGCCGACTACGGCCTGGGTGGGGAATTCACAAACTACAACTTAAAGTTATAATTCATTCTTAGCTGGTAAACAGGACCCTAGAAAAAATATGTTTCACACTTTGATCATGCATTTTAGAGAGGTTTTTGAGAGATTCTGTGTGTGTTGATGTTTTAAATTAGTTTTAAGTTCTGTGTGTTCAGCGCATGCAGAAGTTAATTTGCAGATGAGAAAAGAAGGGTACGAACATGACTGTGGCCACCAGGGGGCGGTATAACACTCTTGTATAAAAGTTGTATCTTCTGAGATTTTCATTTTCTAACCTTCGACTGGTCCTCAGGTTAACCCGTCTTGTTTTGGTTTCCTCGTCTCATTCTCTGTATTTATCTGTCGCTCTCACTCTCATCCTCCCTCTGCTCTGTTCTCAGCTCTTCCCACTGGAACTTCCTCCTTTTGTGTCCAATGTGACTTTCCCCCAAGTTCACCCGTCCGGTGTGTTGGGTTAAAGAAGCTGTTAGGCTTCTTTCGGGGGTGTGAAAAGCGCTCATGCGCAGAACGCGCGACTGTGGGGTTTATTCGACGGAAGAACCGGAAGAAAGCGATGACGGATACCAACTGAAGCTGGACGGGTTCAGCTGGGCCACTTAATCTGTCCAGTTTAAATCGATTTCTAATAAGGAATACATGTGTTACCTCAGAAATTCCTTCATGGGAGACGAGGTACTGTTTGATATAAGGTGGATGCTAGAGTGCGTTCGACATTCTGAAAAATAACAGCGCCATACAGTGGCCTGGCATGACAACTGCAGGTGTCTCAAGGCGTTTCCATCTGAAAATCCCGCCAGTTTCCAGGCAGCTGGAAACAGGCGCAAACTTAGCACAAGTGTCAACTTTGCGTATCTGTTTTTTTTTTTTTTTTTTTTGTCACATTACGCTCTTTTGTCTATTCTCCTCGTGTCTCTTTCTGTCCCCAGGCTATGACTGTCCTGTGGTGGAGGGCATATTTGACTATGCGGCAGCAGTAGGGGGCGCCACTCTGACGGCAGCCGAGTGTCTGCTGGAGCAAAACTGCGAAGTGGCCATTAACTGGGCGGGAGGCTGGCACCATGCGAAAAAGTAAGCTCTCCAGCTCCACATGTAGTCAACCAGTTTAAGAAGGAGCTTGACAAACTGAGTCTATTCTAGTTTAATAGCTTGCCTTCTGCTGTGTTTCTTTGGTCTTTAGGAAAGTGAAGGAAGTACTAAAGCACACACACACAAAAAAAATTACCAACATTTTTTTGTTTGTAAAAAATGAAAATCAATAAACCATTTTTCTTTCAGTTCACTTTTTTTTATTTTTTACCATTTTGTATTTATTAGTCAAAAAAAATAAAAAAAATCAAATTAAATGCATAGAAGTGTGTCGACGTAATGCGACAAAATGTTGTAAAGCATAAGCTAGATTATTTACTTCAGTCTGGGTCCATATTTGCCATTTTACATGCAGTAGCCATAAAACAAATTCTTGAGAGATAAATATATATATATATATATATATATATATATATATATATATATATATATATATATATATATATATATATATATATATATATATATATATATATAATTAATTTACCTTATTGGTAATACTTTCTTTGATCTTATGAACATAAGACTGTCATGACACCAACATAAACATGACATAACATATCTGTCATGAACATGAAGGAGACTTTTTCAATGTTTATGACTTGTCGTGAAGTGTCATTTGGTAAATAATGATGCTTTCAATGCAAAGTTGATTTAAAAGTTGCATTAAAACTTTGTTAAAAGTGCCATATTTGCATTAAGGTGTCATTATTGACCAAATAATGCAAAGTTGACACTTTTAATGAATTTTCAGTCAGAAACATTCATGAACACCCCTTCAAATATAGTGTTACCTTTTTTATTTACTTATATATATAAATTCGCTTTTTTTTTAGTGTCCTGATTCTTTCTCGTCTTTGTTTTCCAGGGATGAGGCTTCGGGGTTCTGCTACGTGAACGATGCAGTGCTGGGGATCCTCAAGCTGAGGGAGAAATATGAGCGGGTGCTGTACGTGGACGTTGACCTGCATCATGGAGACGGTACGGGCAACACACACAGAGATGGAGAGCAGCTCTTTATCCTCTTCAAGATGGGTCTTATTTCTACATTTCTAACTATTGAAAAGTTTCGAGTGCTATGTAAAGATAGCAAGTGTTGAATACATTTTTCCTGGTGGACTATGAACTTTGTTTTTACTCTGTGGCGCAGGTGTGGAGGAGGCCTTCAGTTTCACATCCAAGGTTATGACGGTTTCTCTGCACAAGTTTTCTCCTGGATTTTTTCCCGGTCAGTGACTCAAGATGTTTGGTTTTTATTTCTTTAAAAAGAAGCTCCCCAAGGTTCCTACTACCTTTAACAGTCTGGAAGGAGCTTATATGGGTTTCCAGTTTTGGATTAAGTGTGGGGAAAAAAGGGAAGTTGTTTGGAATACTCTCTGCTTTTCCAATTAGTTTTTTCTATTTTCTAAAGACCAAATATCTGTGTT